CGTTCCAGCCTTTCAGATCAATCCAGGACCTGGCTCTGGACCCGGAAGAATGGTCTTGGGAGCTTCCTCGGCAAAGGGCAGGTCCCCAAGCAGGCTGTATCAGCCTGCACCACTTGTCAGTCAAATCAGCCTATAAAATGCTCAAACCTAAGAAACGGCTGAGGGACGATATCAACGATAGATGGGCCAGACACTTGAACGTGGATCGCTCTCTCCTAACCCCGATCAAATGGTTCCAGGAGCAGAAGGCAAGGCCTATGAAAATTACTTCTCTGCAGTGGCAAATCGCCCACCGATGTCTGCCAACTAATGATTGGCTGACCGACCGCACTAATTAAGAGCAAAAGGGCCTACTGCTTCCATGATGCCAACGATGTCAGAGCCTTTTTCCCTTCCACAAAAGGGCGGAAACCATCGAACACATTTTCCTGCAATGTCTGATCGCCCAATTCATATGGAGGTGCTGGGACCATATATGGAGAAAGATGGAACCAACATCTTCTTGGCCATGGACTTGGCAAGCTATACTGGCCGGCCACTGGCCACACGTAGCAGCGGCCACGACCTTCGTACAAAATACGTACAAACTTGGAAGGAGTGCGGTGTTGTGGGCACTTTGGTGGCAGAGATGTACGCAGGCTATGGATAAAGTGAGGGTAGAGGTGCCAGAAATTACCAAACAGATTCAGCAGCAACTGCATTTCAAACTCACACAAAGATGGCGGGCCACCAAATCACAACTAGATCTTTTTAAACAGGTAGGAGATGTCAATAGAAGGATCACTTCTTTTTGTACAGACTGGGAGGAAGGGGGGAAGGATGGATTGCAAAAGTAGAATGGAGTGGAGATGGGGGGGAGGGACAGAGGAGTCTGGAAGAAATGAGAGACTATCACTTAATTTTTTAAGGACTGGACGAACATAGAACCCTCTTTCCCACTCCGCCCCCCTGCTGATTTCCCTGACCCCTTCCCGCCCCACGCCCTTTGCCTGACCGAGATCCTGTCTTAATTGAGATAAACCAGTAACTCATTCTACCTACATTTTCTTTTTCATATAAGGAACTCTCCCCTGGAGCCCCCCAGGGAGTTTTTCTTCTAAATAAAACAGTTTTACTACTCCTTGTTCAGGAATCAGTGCTTATTGAGGACATCTGGCACCCCCTCCCGGGGGTGAAGAGATACGGATAACAAGGGCTACAAGGACTACATCACCATGATTTCGGTCACACATACCTGTTCAATAAATCCCCCTGGAGACAGGGCAATCAATGCTGGCAGGTCTCAAAATCACGGATCTTGAACATCTTCCTTTTCTTTGTGGACGATTATGGGACGCTGGACCCGGTTTCCAGCAGGTGATGCTCCCCACCAATAGATGGAGCCTCCACCTGGGTGCTAGTGGTGTCTGCTCATATCAGCAGCACTAGCACTGGCAGGAGGACTTTTTGAAAAAAAAAAAAAAAAAAAAAGGAGTGTGGATGGACAATCTGTAGAGTTCTCCATCTGGTCTGGTTGAGTGATAGTCTGCTTTGATTTTCGTCACAGGTACCCCTTTCCATTCCCTGTTCTCACTACGCCCCGGAGTCGCTGTTCGTCGTTCACATCCCCACTCATTGTCGTCTTACCACCTGTAATTGTCCATCTTCCATAGCGTCCATTGCTAGCGTTGTAAGTGTGACCTGGCAAGAGGGCGTTGCAGGTGTGATCGGCAGGAGCAGCATGTGTCAGGACTCGAGGGATGGGCGCGGTCGGTTGGGTGTGGGTGCATACAATTGTGGGTGGGTACATGAAAAAAAAACCTGGGTCGCATAGGATACAAGTGGTTAACAAACGGTTCAGGTTTATGTGGCCATGGGTGGTTTTGGAATTAAAAAAAGCACATGGGCAGGTATGGGCAGTTACAGTCTGAAAAGGTTAAGATAGAGCAGGTATGGGTACACATCTTTTTCTTTTGGAGCAGGTAGAGATGGGTAAAGGTTCAATAGGCCAGGTATATAGTCGGTATGGTTAGATGGTTTTCAAAGCGGGTGCGCTTAGGTTGGTTACAGGTATTTTAAAAAATCTCGGTTGCCAACTCTGCCTCAGGGCGGGAGGCAATGGGCCTCGCTCCACTACTCACGAAATGTTGGAAATCAGAATGAATCTTCCGCTGGAACATGGGATGATACACCATCTTTTTGTTTTCTTCTTGGCATTTTGTGAGTAGTGGAGCGTGACACACTCCCAGCTCGAAGTCGGGGAACCTCTTGACTTCCAACAACGCAGCGGCGCAGCGGCCTGGAAAAAAAATCATTTGGTTGTTTGGAACTTTCGACACGGCAGGTGTAGAAAAGAAATTGGGCCTATAACTTGAGGTGGCGGGAGAGGGGGGTGGAGGGACAGGGTTGGCTGGACGAGGGGTTTGGAATGGGTAGGCACCAGGTATTTCATGGTTACCCAATAGGAACCTTTACCCTCCCGTACCCATACCAGTTTTTTCTGTTGCCACTCGCATCTGCCCATACCCATTTTATTTTTCTTTTCGGCCGCCCATCCCAGGGCTTTCCGCCGCCACTGCCCCTCCCTTCCCATACCCAAGTCCCACTTTGGAAGGGGTACGCAACCCCACCCGTAACCTGGCGGTTGCAGCTGGGTACAGTCGGGTATAGGAAACAGTTACCCATTTGCCCTTTCTGCCTCGCGGGCAGTGGTTGGTGCCCGCATCAGGGTATTCGTTGTCGAGCAGTCGTTGATGCTTAACCACAGCCGGGGTTAAGGTGGATTATCACTTACAGTGCAATCAGTTAGGGAATTCTGCAGACTGTTGGGGGGTCCGCCTCCTGATGAGTGAGTGAAACTCACAGCCCCTCGTTTGTTGTCCTCTTCTCCATCTCTGCCAACGGTTTACCGGGCAGCTCTGTTTGACAATATAAGTAAGTAATTAGTTACTAAAAACTCATATGTCATAAAATCTTCATCTGTGAAATGGGAAAAATGATCAACATCGCACCACATTCAAACATGAAAATCTCACTTGGATTTGTTTTTTTCCAAATCTCAACTGGATTTCATATGTTTCATATCTGAAAATTCGAGGACCCATTGACTATTAATGCACTCTGGGCACCGCAGCTGTTAGCACACCGGTGTGTGAGGGAATTCTGTGGTATGCTATCGGTTATCATCAATGGATAAACCTCTCTCGGCTATCATCAATGGATAAACCTCAACAGGAAAAAAACTACACCAGTTCATGGATATCATGGGTTACTATTGCTACAAACAGTTATGGGCCATCATCAATGCATAAACCTCTGCCAGCCTCTCAGTGGGTTTCCTCCAAACAGTGGGATCTTTCGGATCTCTCATCTTTTTCTCCAGCATCTTAGGCCCATACAGATGATGACAGCGCTTCTGACATCAACAAACCATCCTTCATGTAATATTAAAAACCTGTTTGCTTTGACATAGCACCTTGCATGCTAACAAAGGTTTTGCATACCCTTATGGACGCCAACCCCAACGACAAAAACTCCGTTGTGGCACCGTAAACCCTAGGCAACTCTATAATTCCTTATATTCCCAGCATTATTGCTAAATGTCCTTACCTTGCATATGCTGACATTAAATCGCAGTCACCCCATTTTATGTGACCTGTTATTCGCATGCAGTGAAAAATATGATGGGTGATGCATTTTTGATTGCCTGGTCACACCTGTTTGTTCTTCCAGCCACTTTTGATAGTCGTTGCCTTACATGTCAGCCTCATATTCCCTTGGCGCGGAAGCCTACCCAAACCCAAAGTGGGAACCCATAGTGGGAACCCATACCTGAGACCCAGAGTGGGAACCCATACCTGAGACCCAGAGTGGGAACCCATACCCAATCCCAAACACAGCCCCATCCTAATCCTCAGACCCAGAGTGGGAACCCATCCATACTCGTTCCAAACTCAGGCCCAGATGCAGATCCTAGACGCCAGACTGAGCCCTTGACCCAGACCAAAGCATAAGACCCATTCCATAGCCCCGGACCTAAGCCCAACCTCACCCTCTCTCCCTCTCCCCTTCCAGACCTTCTCTCTCTCTCTCTCTCTCTCTCTCTCTCTCTCTCTCTCTCTCTCTCTCTCTCTCTCTCTCTC